TCTCCTACCTACTAACCTCATCCCACCCCCTTGACCTGTCCGTCCTCCCTGGACTGACCTATCTCCTCCCTACCTCCCCGCCTACACTCACCTTTACTGGCTCCATCCTCGCCTCTTTGACCTGTCTGTCTCCTCTCCACCTATCTTCTCCTCTATCCATCTTCTATCCGCCTCCCCCTCTCTCCCTATTTATTTCAGAACCCGCTTCCCCTCCCCCATTTCTGAAGAAGGGTCTAGGCCCGAAACGTCAGCCTTCCTGCTCCTCTGATGCTGCTTGGCCTGCTGTGTTCATCTAGCTCTACACCTTGTTATCTCAATGTTTCCATTCCAATGATTCTTCTTCAGAATGTGTTGCACAGAGGCTTCCAGACCTGTTGACTTTCTCCAACAGTTCTAGTTGTCACTTCAGATCACAGGTGTACAGTCTCTACCCAGTGTGAATGTGTGCACGTACAGCGATGTTGCGATCATTTACAAAACCATGTCCTCCAGATATACATTTTATTAACATTATAATTGTCAAAAATCATTTTTCATTCCTTGGTGTGAATAAGAGAAAACATCCTTCAATTGTGGTTATTTGTGAATTTGTTGGTGTCTCAGCAGGTTGGATGGTTGAGTGAATGCTTTCCCACAATCAGAGCACGTGAATGGTCTCTCTCCAGCGCGAACTCGCTCGTGTGTTACCAAGTTGGATGCTTGACTGAATCCCTTCCCATACACCGAGCAGGTGAATGGGGGTTTCTCCCAAGTGTGAACTCATTGGTGTCTCAGCAGGTCAGTTGTGAGAGTGAATACAGTCCCACACATGGAGTGAATACTGTCCTACACACGAATGGTTTCTTCCCAGTGTGAATTTGCTGGTGTCTCCGCAGGGAGGATGACGGAGTGAATCTCTTCCCACACTGAGAGCAGCTGAACTGTTTCTCCCCAGTGTGAACTTGCTGGTGTATCTGGAGAGTGGATGACAAAGTGAATCCCTTCCCACACACAGTGCAAGTGAATGATCTGTCTCTGGTGTGAACCCACTGGTGTGTGAGCAGTCCGGATGACTCAGTGAATCCTTTTCCACAGATGGAGCAAGTGAATGGTCTGTCTCCAGTGTGAACTCGCTGGTGTGTCAGAAGGTTGGACGACTGTGTGAATCTCTTCCCACAATCAGAGCAGGTGAACGGCTTCTCCCCAGCGTGACTGCGTTGGTCAGTTTCCAGCTGGGATGGGTAAAAAAATCCCTTCCCGCAACTTGCACATTCCTACAGTATCTCTGATATAACCTGTAGAGCTGGATGAACACAGCAGGCCAAGCAGCATCAGAGGAGCAGGAAGGCTGACGTTTTGGGA